AAAAAATATTTTTAATTGATGCATTACATTTATATAGAGTGAAATAAATTGTTAAGGTATGTAATAAATATAAACCTTTAGTGCAAAAGGTCTTAGTTTTGCCAACTTGAAAAACATTTCCTCCTGAAAACTTAGTTTCATTTGGTGGAAGTTTGATAGAGGTTAATGCAAAATATATTACTAGATCCCGCTTATTTAGATATATTGGACTATTCGTTGTTGGGATTCACGCGCTCCACGTTAAATAAAATCAGAAAGACTACATTGTTTGGTAACATTCATTAAAGGATCTTTGGGCTTCCCAAACGGCTTTTAAAAAAATATATTCATATAACGTGACCGAATTGTTAAAAACTGGTGACCGCGCCAAATGGTTCGTAGAGGTATTTTGGGTGTATCGTGCTGTGAAACAAAAATTATTCCTGTGCTCACTGTGGGTTTTAATTATTGAATGATGATAAGCTATGCATTTTAGAGACCTTATTTCGTTCGGTGCTGTTGTGGCGTGTTTATATGTGTCAAACAATGCTGTTTCAGGGAGTTGCCTATGTAAGGTCTGACGGTTAAAAAACAATTATGTTTGCAAACAATTTCAAAAACTGCCATTACTTAAGACTTTTACTCACAAAAATAATACCACCACTTTTTTGGCATTCAAATAAGGATAATGCAAATACATCGTATTTGCCACTGCTGGATAAACGATCTTCACCGTGGATAAAATCATGGATTAAAATTCCTCCGAAACGAGGAACATAATAAGCTTCTGATTGCATCAGCTGATTATATTTTAATGTGCTTATTTTGGCCTACATTTGGACAGCCAAATGTATGCAATATTTTGTTTTTTTAATGTGGATTTATAAAAGTCAATATAATCTCGTGCAAATCAAAAATCATTCAGCTCTGTCGACTATGCGGGCTCTTATACTTAAAACACCGTCAAATTCACAAATCGTTGACTGATTATCATGCTCTTTATTACATTGATTTTCAAACCCACTTATGTGTCTCTTGTTATAAATAATGGTAGATACTTTGGCTTTTCTAATTTGAGACAACATTTGTCGATTAAATGACATACGCATGTTACAACAAAAAACTTAGTTCTAATCAAAATAGTGCGCACTTCAATATCTATGTCATGTTTTCATTCGAATGAAGGTCACCAACTTCTTAGATATTTTGTCAGATTCGCTTAGTAGGATTGGCGATTATGTTTAGATTTTTCGTGACTTAACGCACATTTCATGATATACTTCACCTTTTTAGCTTGAAGATGTGCCTTGTAACTTAAGATCTGTGCATTATTGTCTTGTGATATATTAGGAAATGTATTGTTAGCCTATGAATTTTTCATTAGCTTGACCAATAAAGGTGATGATGTGCGTCAAGATGGCGCTTTGTCTAAATTCAGATGTATGTGGTACGGAAATTGCGAACCAGAAAGAGGATATATGTAGGTAAATCTACGGTGCCCTACAGCAAAAGAAAACATGTGATTCAAGTTTGCCAGTCATACAAACGTAAAAATATAAAATAGTAAATTGCCATCCATGAGAATTGAAAAGGAATAAGCCTTGTTACTAATACAGTAAACTTCTAAGACACTTGGAAATAACCTATTTCGATTTGAAATTAAGGTATTACACAATGCCTAATCATCAATGCTGCAGGATAAAATGCATGCTTTCAAAAAATAACTACTTAGTTCATAGCATCCTTATTCGTTGGAAAATGTGATTGATTCATCGCTTTTTAAAGCATCCAAGAAATATTTCGATGCCGCATAAACATAAGTAAAACAAATTGTAAACTATAAATATATTCACTAATAAACCTGAGTCTATGCTGCATGTAAAGCTTGGATTGTTCGGACCGTATTACTGATAAAAGGATGTTTTTCACAATATCCATGATACAACAGGAAGATAGAAATATGTAGGAAGGACAGTTATAAAAAGCACTAGAAAAAATATGTCTACTGCAAATGCAATCACAAAATTGCTTTCGTTACTGTCTATCCTATATACTATGAATGATGTAAAATAAATGGAAGTAGAAGCCAGTTGCAATAAAATTACACTCCTACTACTTGATGCATAACGTGCCAAAATTTTCTTTAAAATAACAGCCTAACTGCACAGACCATGTATAAGAAACATTTTCCAACGATTGCGTGCTAATCAAATGCAAAATTTCAGGTTACTCTCTGCATCATATATGGTTAGTCTTCCCGGACAATTTTAATTGGCTACCGTCAACTAGGACCTCATTGGCAAACACATGCCCGTCAAATACTCGATCGTGCAACACCTACGATCAACGACTTGAAACTCGCCAGCTAGGGAAAGCATATGAGCAATTTTCAAAATATTTATTTAGCAAGCAGCCAGCAGGTGGCATCATCATGTATACTGCACGTTTAAATGTCATTAAATTTTTGCACACTTTTGATGACTTATAAATGTGCAAAAAGCTATACAAAAAGCCATCGAAAAGGTTTAAAAACGAAGTTTGTAAAAAAGGAAGAGAAATATTAGTCATATTTAAAAGAATGAAGTAGTTCACAAGAGAAATGGGTTATTTCCGAGGATTGAGAACCCCCATGATAACTTGTGCACTGGTATATTCACAGTGGATTTGGAGACTGCTTCATAACCACGCATTTCGGCCCATCCACAGGATTAGAACCAAGTAGAGCTGGATAAGCTCGCCCTGAGGACAAGACAAGATGCAATAAATTGTATTAATAAAGTTTTTTAGTAGAGCATGTACAGTAACGGATTATTTATAAATTATAAAGCTCCCGCGGGCAATCACAAACGGAAACAATACCTTATTTTCAAAATTAAAAGCAATAACGGTTATGGCTCTAGTGCATAATTTTCAGTAACTATGACTATGTTTGGGTAAGTATGACGTATCAGAGGACTACATTCACATTGGGCAGATAGTATATACTTGCGGCCGAGCTAGAAGGGTGGTTGGGGTCACTATTACGAAACAACTGTTCTGTCGTTGGACGGTATGTTAGTTGGAGAGACGTTTCATCCTAATCTATACTGCCTCCCAGTTGAACTACGAATATCGACAAGAAAACACGTGCAAGCCTTCCTGCAAATCCCCGTAGATTTTTACAAATTATGTACGTACATCTCACCCTGTATAAAACTAGTCAATGTAAACAGAAATATTTTGCTATTCCAGCAAACTACGCACAACATTTCCTGCTTCGAAAGAGTTACTATCAAAACTTACAACAAGCTCACTCGCAGTAAAAGCTTGATACATTAGCAAAATTGAAAAGTCTGTTGTACAAGTCGGGACGAGTATGTTTAGCTGAGGTCATGGTCCGGCTGCTTGCCGAAAAAGGAGTATCCGGTAGCGGCGAAAAAATAATGAATGGTCTCTGAGGTCATGTAACTTGCCTCAAAACAGGTCGCAAATTACTACCTAGCTAGGCGATGTAAATACTCGTTTTTATAAACAGTTTTAGACATAGCAGAAAAAAGAGCAATTTGGAAAAAATTGCACGCCATGACACTAAGTCTTAGGATATCCCCGTTTCTTTTAGAATGAGCCACCGAGCTCTTGCATAGATAACTCGTTCCAGACTTATCTCGAAAAGTTGCAGAATAAATGCGATAATTTGCATTGAGAAGAAGATGACTCGATCGCTGGGATAATATTTTTATTCCCCCGACGTTTCGATATCCGTCGCTGATTCATCATCAAAGA